ATCGACCTGGGGAGAAAAATCAAAAATCTCCCAGCCTGAAAAGCTTTCCTGGTTTTGCTAGCCAGCTTTCGGGCATGGGGTTCCAATCAAAACATCAAGCCTGACAGAGTGTGTGCAAGGAGAGATTTACCTTCACTGACCAGCTGTAAACCCAACTCGCCTGGTTCTGACCCCAGGAACACCTGTGCTGCCCCATTGGCTACGAAAGCATCGGCCATACCTAGCTTGGTTGATTCTCACTGTAAGCAAGCCTGGCCTGCAGATATCCCAGACATTCAGGGGCAGGTCACTACCCCATGTCATGGTAGGCAACGCAGAGCTTAGGGGAATCCATCCAGAGCACACCTAGACTAGCACATTCAGTTACCAGCTGCCAAGACTGCCAGCGTCCATTGGACAACACACCCCGACACCTTTCCAATGGATAATTCTGCAGCACATGGAGAATTAAGAATAGTGGGGCCACAGAAACTAAACTGGATTTGTTACCTGATTCCACCCCAGCCCAGGGTGCGAAGCACTTGTATTAGTCAACGCCCTATTTTACCCAACTCAAACCTCCAACCTATAAGTAAGGGAGGCCGTAGATCCCCTCCCCCTTCAGCAAACAGCAATGCACACTGGCTGGTCACACTTCCATCCACTCCTCTTCCCGACACCGTTAACCTCCCTCACACCAGATCTTTGCTTGAGGGCTTGGCGACACATCACCACCCGCTCTCCATCAAGCTCATTTGCTATTACCCTCCATTGCTCACCTTCCCGCAGTTCCTTCTCTGCAGGCTCATCAGTGCCCCAAGCCCACCAGGGCCCGCCATCTAATTACAGAACTGACGTCAATGCTCCTCTCTGGGCCCATGACACTGACAGTAAACACAGGCTGGCTGCACTGCATTAATGGGCCCTGGAGGCGTTAGATAAGAGCCCAATAACAATTAGCCAGGATAACATACCGGGCTGTTTTTAAGCGGCACAGACAGGATGCTGGGCAAAGATGAAGAGCTCAGGGTCCTCGGTCGTCAGGATGCGATGCCATCACTCGGCTTCCCAGAAGGGTCAACAATCAGCGTGCAAAATGAATCATAGAGGGATGAGAGAGCAAAGCAGGGAGACGGGTCCGAGAACCTTGGGAGACAACCACTGCCAGAGCTGGGGAACGGCACTGGCCTGTGGGTGAGAACATTCAAGGAGGCAGAAAATGGAGATGGATGACAGTATGAACCAGTGACTATGCCATGGTCAGGGGTGCTAGAACAAGGTGGGCCAGGGGGCCATGGCCCCATCACTTTTTATCGTCCGTAAAGGCGAGCGACGGGGGAGGAGGCGGAGAGGAGCGAGTGGAGGGCAGGGTCTTGGCAGGAAGAGGTGGCACAGGGTGGGGCCTTGGGGAGGAGGGACGGGGCAGGAGCAGGGACTCAGGGGGAGGAGTATTGGGGGCGGGGCTATGGTTTGGGCACCGGTGCCCCCCCATTTTTATGCAGCTTCGGCCACTCCTGGCCCTGGTGTGCCTACCTACATTGCTCAGGGCTGTGAAAAACGTCATGCCCTGTGCGAGGTAGTACGCCCAGCCAAGCCCCCACTGTAGACGTGGGTAGGCTGGCGGAAGAATTCTTCTTGAGAGGTGGATTTAGTACAGTGGCGGAGAAACCCCTTCCGTTGCTGTAGCAATCGTCTACACTCGAGAGATTAAAATCGGGAGGCTTTAGGGCGTAGAAGTGCAGTGTCTGCAGAGGCTAAGTAGCCACAGCTCGAAATGGTCCAAAGGAAACCACTCCAGAAGCCTCCTCTTGGGGAAGTGTTAAGGCAAAAGAACAGGCACCAGGTGACGCCTCCAGAAATCGATTTTTAAAAGATCATGTCAGCTGTCGCTAAGCTTTTAAAACCAATCAAATACAAAATGGAACGAGGCAGCGGTCGAACGCCCATCCCATAACAACCAGACTGAGCCCTGTAAGGGACAGGCCCCCTTTCCACACAGGAAACCCGCCTAAGGATCACGCAGGCTGAGAGCTTGTGCAGAGCAACTGGGCAAGAGTAAAGCAAATGTACCTCTTGCAACTTTGCTGATGGCTGCAGGGATCGGCGAAGCAGCCTCAGTCAGGGGAGGGGGCGAAAATACCCCACTCCCAATATTCCCTGCCCAAACCTTAAGCTCTGGCAGCACAGATATCACCACGAAGAGCAGCTTGGTGTGCGTACAACAGCTACAAGGCAACACCTGCCTGCCACTGAAGCCAAGGAGGGCCTCATGCACAACACATAAGTGACAGCTGATAAAGGAACCCTACAAAGGAGAACACCCCTCCGGCACCGTTCTTACTGTCATCAATAGGAGTTCGCACCACCCGTCTCATACCCACCACCTGGTACAGGAAATTGTGCCTTCAGGGTTCTAAAGCAGCGGTACTGAGTTCTCCCAGCTGGCTGGGTATGTTGTTCAAACCTGGGGGTGGGACGGGGGGGGTGTCCAACCCATGGTGCTCAGGGCTCAACCACTGTGATCATCTAGTGTGACCTTCTGCTTAACACAGGCCAGAGAACTGCCCCTAAATCATTCCTAGCGCAGATCTGTTAGAAAAAACATCCAATTTTGATTTAAAAATTCCCAGTTATGGAGCATCCACCATGACCCTTGGTGAACTGTTTCCATGGTTAATTACCCCCACTGTTAAAAAATTATGCCTTATTTCTAGTCTGAATTTGTTTAGATTAATTTTTTGTCTAGATTCCAGCCATTGGATTGTGTTGTTAGATGGAAGAGCTCACTATTAAATATTTGTTCCCCAAATAGGTACTCATCGATGGTGATCAAGTCACCCTTGAATCTTCTCTTTGTTAAAGTAAATAGGAATAGACTCAAGGAGCTCAATCTATCAGGCAGGTTTTCCAATCCTTTAATCATTCTCATCGCTCTTCTCTGACCCCTCTCCAATTTATCAGCATCCTTCTTTGATTGTGAACACAGAGGTGAACACAGGATTCCAGCAACAGTCGCACCAGTGCCAGATACAGAGATAAAGTAACCTCTCAGCTCCGACTCAAAATCCCCCTTTTAATGCACCCAAGAATGGCATTAATCCTTCTGGCCACAGTGTCGCCCTAGGAACTCATGTTCAGCTGATTATCCACTATGGCCCCCAGAAGAATTGGCCTATGAGAGAAAGGTCCTTACCTTCTCTCCTGCTGCTCTGTGTGGTGACCTCTGGGGCTCCTTGGAGACCCTTCAAGTTCTAGTCATTGGCCACAGGGAAGAGAATTCCTAGGGGCATAATGTCATTCTTGTTTCACAGCTGGGGAGCCATGCAGAGGGTAAGTGAGTGGCCCACGGTCACACAATGAGCCAGTGGCAAAGTCAAGCATCAGACACCCAGTCTCTTGCTCCAACCCCTAAACCAGAATCATGCCCCTCTTCACATGAGCAGACCTTCCTAGCTCCCTTAGATACCTCCTGAAGAGGGCACCCCCTAACCTGCCCAGGCCTTAGATACTCCCTAACCTCCTCCAGGCTCATTAGCAGTTTAAACAGTGTGCGTTTGGCACAAGGTTTATGCTCTTACAGGAGCAAAGCAAGATGGTTCACTGACACACAGCAACCTCGCTGCCCACGAAGTTTGCCAGGGCACATCACCAGCATCTCAGTCCTCCTGATAGCCCGCTAGCCGCAGGCATTTTAAACCTCTTAGCTCCACAAGGATCTGGAAAGCAGGCTGCTTGCAGTGACCCAAGGGAAACGCTTACGGTATGGCTACACTGCGGTTGGGGGGTGATTGCAGACACGGCCACGCTAGCTGGAGCCTTGCTACTTTGCGCACAGTGCAGGGACGCTCCGGCTGCACAGGCTGAACAAACCCGCTGGGAACCCTGGGTTGTTACTGCTCCAGTGCCTGAGCTCGCCAGATCAGCGCTCGCTCGGTTTGCCTCCATGACCTGCGATCACCCCCCTGACTGCAGTGTGGACATACCCACAGTCTGACTCCATCCCCCAACCCCCCATGAGCGAGGTGGCAGAACGCTCAGGGGGACAGAGCAGAGAGTGACCGACTAAAGTCTCATTACAAACAGAAGATGAAAAGGAAAGATCCACCATCTGTTAGTAAGTGTCAGACCAATGGCACCGTGACGCTCTGCTGGGGTCAAACGAAGGGACATCAATAGCATGCACAAGCCTCGTGGACTTAAGTTATATTTATGCAAACGTCCCCCTGGAGACATGATCAGAGAGGTGCAGTTTGGCAACTAGTGAGTGTAATGCGCCAGCTCCCAAAACACTATTCTTCTCCAACAGCTCGGAAATGCCTTGGCTTATAGCTGCTTGCCGGGAATTCAACACTCAACCAGTTTCTATTCATCTGCAGAGGAAGATACCAACACTAACAGTGTGGCTCTATGGTTATATACACGCCACATCACCTGAAAGCTCCTGACAAAATGCAACATAGTCAACAGCTCTAGCAAGAGTGACCAGGCTCTGTGATGCTGAGGACTAATTTCCACTGTCACTAATACATTCCCATTACTGATGCATCTGGTTATGATTGGCAGACTACCTCCATTCACAGCTACCGCGCCCAGATCAAGGACAAACAGGGCCTTGCCATTTACCGGACATCTCCTGTTCTCTCTCGGCATCCAGCGAAGCCCTGAGCTAGGTTTCTGCGCTAAGTAACGTAATGCAGCAAAACAGGTGGCGATTCAGAGCTGAGTTGCATAGCCCCCGACGTTTCAGAGGGGTTATCTGCACTTTGTAACGGAGAGCAGAATTTAGCCAGCTGTCTACCATGTGTTGGAGCACTCATGCAGCAGGGGAGAGATCCTACTTCACTGCCAATGCCTGCAGGGTACGTCCCCTCTGCAATACACTTTAATTTACAGTTCAGCCCATAAAGATCCCTGCTTTCAAGAATTTAGAGAACTTTACAGTCAGGGGCGAGAGTGGAGTACAGATTAAGGAGTTTACATGGAGTCGGCAGGAAGGCCCATTGCCGTGCGCACACACATACCAGTGGAGGACCACTTCCTCTGGACGCATCTTCCGTGTTCATCTTCCACAAACTGCGGGAGGCAGGGGCCACAGGCATGGGAACCAGGGGGGCAGAACTCCCTTCTTTGCAGCGTGCAGTCCAAGCTCCGTGGACAGGACTCCTCTAGGAAAAGGAAAAGAAAAAGAGAAGAGATCCAAGTGAGTTTCACAAGGTGCTCCGTGGATGGGGAAAAACGGCTGTTCCACCAGGCTAAGGATGGACACAACAACATGGAGATGTCACTGTCATTGCTAGAAATGAGAAACAGGATCCTAGCTACGGCCAGACTGTAAGTATCTGCCTGTGCAAAACACATGCGAGTCATTGGGGCAGAATAGCTAGCCACAAGTTCAGCCTGAGCTACCACAGAGGTGGGGAGGGAGAGCAGCTTGGCTGGTGCTGCCAAGCCCTAACCCACCCATGCTGGCCGGAGTGGAACAATGTTCTGGCATAACCCAGAGAGGAACAGCATTAAGGCTTTTACTCAGCCAAAATGGACCAGTGGAACATCTGGCAGTTTTGTGAGTAAGACACAGGACAGGGATCAGGAGATCCGGGTTCTGCAAGACCTGTGGTCAGGGCCAGGTCACCAAGGCCTCTCCATGCCTCATTTTCCCCATGGGCACAATGGGGATAATGACAGAGAAGTTGTGAGACTAAGCTCAGAGGCTACACTGATGTGTGCTATAGAAGAGCACACACAATAGGACGGGGCGGGCAAACTTTTTGGCCTGAAGGCTGCATCGGGTTTCCGAAATTGTACAGAGGGCCGGTTAGAGCAGGCTGAGCCTTCCCAGACAGCCAGGCATGGCCCGGCCCCCGCCTCCTATCCGACCCCCCCTGCTTCTCGCCTCCTGATGGATCCCCAGGACTCCTGCCCCATCCAACCCCCCGCTGCTTTCTGTCCCGACTGCCCCCTGCCGCCCCATCCAACTCCTCCCCTCCTTCCTGACTGCCCCCCCGTCCCCATTCAACCCCCCTGTTCCCCACCCTCTGACCGCCCTGACCCCTATCCACACTCCTGCCCCCTGACCACCTTCCCTGAACTCCCCTGCCCTCTATCCCAGCCCCCCCGCTCCCTGCCCCATTACCGCGCGGCCTGGAGCAGCGGTGGCTGGCGGCTCTACAGTGAGCCGCCCAGAGCACAAGGACAGGCAGCCGCGGCTCCGCAGCCCCGCCGCCCAGAGCATTGTGCAGGTGGCACAGTGAGCTACCCTCCCAGGCCAGGAGCTCAGGGGCCAGGCAGGAGGGTCCCATGGGCCGGATGTGGCCCGCGGGCCGTAGTTTGCCCACCTCTGCAATAGGGACTCCATCCTATTCTGCAGCTCTGCATTTCAGTCAGACTAGCATTCACCCATAAGCCTGGCATTGCTTACAGAGGCCAGTCTACAAAGTGACTTGGTGAACGGCTAACTTACATTGCGAGTTTCCGTAGCTGAGCTCCGGACCCGTCTCGAGCAGAGCTTTCTGCTGTAGCTTACCACTTACTAGCTGCCGTAGCAAAGAGCTTAGTCGATCTGTGCAGCCTTATGATCCGCTCAGGGCAGTTTAATGGCGAACAAGACGACTAGCCTAGGGCACCTCGCCCCCCGCTTCTCACCCTGAGCTCTGGCACAGTTCACCCCAGGTGCAGACAGACTCACCAAGGCCACCAGACCAGCTGTTCCTTGTAAATTACATCATGACTTAACCTGAGTGAAAATTAACCACTTTTTTCATTAAACCTTATAAAATAAAAACTCCCTTATAAAATAAAAGGTGGCCATTTTTTTCTGAGTGAAAGTTAACCACTTGAACCAGCCCAGAGATCGCAGTAAAAGCCTCCTGCCTGGATGGTTTTTCCTCCCTAACCTAACAATGCTGAAGTCCTCTGAGTTAATGTGACTTCCCTGCCCGGCTCAGGCCATATGTGACGTCAGACTTTAACAGTGTGGCACACTGGTTTGCTCCATCACTGAGCTCTCTGTAACCGTGCCAGAAAGCCCTCTCTGAAGGAGTCTCCTCAGGGAAACTGCACCCACCTATTTTACCTTCTCACGACAGCCAGCACCTCAGCTAAGTCTCTCTCCTGGGTGAGGTGAGACACATGTAGCGGCCAGGGTCGGGGAATAGACTGTTGGTTTTGTGGCTCCTGGATACACCCAGTACCATCCTGGGGAATTAAAGCAGGCAACCAGCAGGGGGAGCTCTCACCATCCCAGCCCAGAAGGGTAGCAGAGCGCTGCTTACCCAAGCCATCATGAGGAGGGAGCGGAGTTCCTCCTCCCCTGCTCCCACCTTCCCTGGATCACCTCCGTTTCCCTCTTGAGCCCGTATAAGCTGCCCGCCTGCCGGCACACCAGGGAGCTCCTGCCAGCTACCCCACCCTGTGCCTGGCAGCGCCCCCTGCTTACATCCAGGAGGGCATCCACACAGCAAGGGCAGCCACACAGGAGTGCGGGACTCAGCGGATGGTGACAGGATCACTACACACTACAGTCCTCAGGCTGGTGACAAGCGAGGGTCACATGTGCTGCAGATGTCGTTAAAGATCAATTTTAAGCCAACGTAGGGGCTGCGTGCCTAGGTAATTAATAACGCCCCGTGTTATTGGCCTAAGATAAAGTTGCAAGACTAGCATGGCAGCAGACTGTGGCTTGGGCTTAAATAAAAGCCACGCACAATGTATATTCCTCTGTCAGCTGGAGCAATGTCTGCTTTTATTGAGCATCATAAAAAAAACCAGACCCAACACTAATCATCACTAATCAGTGACTAATCATCAACTGGCCCTACACATTCCCGGCTGCTGATCAAACAACCAAAGAGCTCAGAAATCACAGTGCTGCTACAGCTAAGAGCTAGCCAGCACCACCAAGGTCGACTCGGGCCTGCTTTCCTGGCACGGGGCTGGGGTGGGCCTTCGGGCTCAAAGTCACAGCAAGGGCATTTTTATTGCCATTGCTTTTCCTTGATGCTCGTTGCAGAAGCAGCATCCCCAAAAAGTGAATTAAAAAAAAAAAGAAAAGAGAAACTGGCCTTTTTGTGCCATGACACACAGCTACCCTCTCAGCCAATCAGCATCAAGGACTGATGAAATGTAAGTGCTCCCTATTGTGTCAGCTAATCAGAACGTTTCTCCTGTCCTTCCAGTCTTACAAGCAGGTTTCACAATGACATAGATAATGAGAAGATGCATTAAGGAAAGAAGGGGAAAAATTTTGAAAAAAGAGGGAAAAAAAAGAAAGAGGATTTAAATTGTCCAGCTTCAGCCATAAGCCCACAACTGACTGCTAAGGAGAGGGTGAAATTTGACCCGTGGGCAGGTTAGTCTATAAAATCACCCATTACGAGGGTTTCTGCCTCTTCCTCTGAAGCATCTGACCCCTGCCGGAGACAGGACAGTAGGTTAGATGGCCAGGGGGTCTGATCCAGTCTGGCCGTTCCTATTCTCCTAAGTAGAGCAGTTCAACATTTTTGGATGGAACAGTTTTCCCACTGGAAAATTTGAAATTGAAACATTTCATGAGAACATCTTGATTTCAACAAAACTGTACAAATTTCAGGACAACGTGCATCGAAATGGAATCGTTCATTGTGACCTTATTTCACTTGGACTATTAATTTTTTTTAAGTTTATAATGTAATTGTATTCTATTAATATATATATTTACCATTCTATATAGATTTAATATAGTGTACTAGATTAGAATGCCTTGACATTAATGAAACAAAACATTCCAATAAGGATGTTTCAGAAACCAAATATTCCGGAATTTCCATTTCAGAGACAATTTGCAAAGTTTGAATTTTCATCCCAGTTCGGGACAAAAGGGAATTCTGAAGTGTCTGAGCCCCCATGGGATGGAAATGCCATTTGCTGACCAGCTCCGCTCGGAGGGGCCCACCCGCCTGAACTGGAACCAAAAGCACAGGGGTGAACCCCATGGACAGTGTGAAGTGAGGAGTAGGGCTGCCGTAGAGACGCTCCTGTCACCAACCTGCTTTTGGATGCCAGGGCTGGGCGCACAGATCAACTGTCCTGCATTGTGCAGTCACCACCACCCGGGTGTGGCGTTCTAGCACCAGACCTGAACAGCGGACTCAGGTTGTTTTTATTTCCTATAAACTCAGGCTGCTGCACTGCTTCCTCTCGGACCTCCTGAAGAGCCAGTTCTCCCTGCCCCACGGTCACCGACTGATTTCCCATGTAATTTATGGGTGGGACGAAGACAGGCCATTCTTCCAGGCTGTGCTTTCCCTGCTCCCCTGTGGGGACTAGCGCAGGAGACTGATACCCGGAGACACGCCTCCTGGGTGGGGTGGGCGAGGCACCTTGAACAAAGCGCACACAGCAGGGACCCTGCCCCATTAGCGGCAGAGCTGCTGCGGGTGAGCAGGCTGCTGCAACAGGGGGAAATGGAAAGGGAGTGCTCGGGGGCTGCTCAGTGGCACACGGGCATGGAAGGATAAGGCCTTTTCCTGTAGCCATATTGTAAGGTCTGAGGCCTTTGTCTGTGGCCATATTAGGACAGCAGCAGCCATGAGCTAAGAAGCAGAAGGTCACATCCTCAGGTTCCCTCTAAATTACATTAAACCAATGTCCTATCGGGCTGTTAAAGGCGGCTCACTCCTGACAGCACCAGATAACCATATTAAGAGCTGTTTCTTTAAAGAAAACTTGGTTTGCTGGCGTTCTGTCTGGCAAGAAATCACTTATCAACAGTTGTGACTGTAAAATCTCTCCTATTGTTTTGTCTTCAGGATCCCCATTTCTCTATCGTTTATCTGTCTGGTCTCTGTCTGGTTCTTTGATTGTTTCTGTTTGTTGCTTAACTAATTTTGTTAGGTGTAAATCAGTTAAGATGGTGGGATATGATTGGTTAAAAAAATGGTTTTACAATATGTTAGGATTGGTTAGAAAATTATTTAGTGATTTAGTAAAATGGTTGGTTAAGGCACAGCTAAGCAGGACTCGCGTTCCACTACATAAACTGGGGTCCAAAAGGAAGTTCTTGAGAACCAACTCCAGGACACAGCCCCAAGATAAGATCAGAACTCCCAGACCTCAACACCCCACCATCCACACTGTGCAGAAGCTGGAGTCCCCCAGAATACCTGATCCTGACTGGTCATCAAGAAAA